CAGGTTTCTCCAAGCTCAGCCCCGACCTAGCTTGGAAAAAAAAAATCATTCTGTTCTGATCTCACAGCAATGAGCATCCCTGTTTTTCCTCTCTCTCTCTCTCTCTCTCTCTCTCCCCCCCAGTTGTTTTACATGGCAACAACCTCCTGGTTTTTGGGGGCACTGGGATCCCCTTTGGAGAGAGCAATGGGAACGATGTCCACGTGTGCAATGTCAAGTACAAGAGATGGGCTCTGCTCAGCTGCCGTGGCAAGAAACCCAACCGCATCTATGGCCAGGTAGGGAGCTCAGGGGAGCCCTGAGTGCCTCAAAAAAAGGGGGGCACAGCACCCAAATCTCTTCTCTGTTCCTCACCAGAGTTGTTGTTTCTGTCTAAAAGCACAAGGAAAAGCAGGTTGGGTTCTGTGAGATTTTAAAGTTTTTTTTTCCTAGTTAGAAAGGTCACAGGGTTTGTGCACTTTGCTCTCTGTTGAAGGGTGGAAGGAAATGTTGGGTTGTATTTCCTAGGAGTGTTAATTGTGCCAAGAAAAGTAAGGCAAGAGCTGGGAGATGCTTCCAGTCCAGCAGAAGGATTTGGCAGCAGCTGAGCTGAGAATTTGGACAAAGCAGCAAATTTAAAAAATAAAAAGAGCAAGGCAGGACTGGGAACTGGAGCTTAAAATCCCTTCAGGTGAATGAAAAAAAATCTGATTTAAGGAGTAGGTTGGTAGTCAAAAACCTTAAAAACCCAAAACTCTAAATGAAAATGAAAAAGTGATTTAAGGAGTGGTTCATAGTCAAAATTTTCAAAACCTAAAACTCTAAATGAAAATTTGTAGGGTTCCTTTATATTAGAATTACCCTTCCCATAAAGTGGATGAACGAGGTGGACAAAGAAATGGATTCACTCTCACAGCAGGACTGACCCTTTTAGTTTCAGAAGAGCAGGAATTCCCTGCTTTTCCCCAATCCTTTGTAAGTGCTTTCTCTGCCAGGCCATGGCCATCATCAATGGATGTCTCTACGTGTTTGGAGGAACAACTGGCTACATTTACAGCACTGACCTGCACAAGCTGGACCTCAACACCCGGGAATGGATCCAGCTGAAGCCAAACAACATGTCCTGTGACATGCCAGAGGAGAGGTGAGCACCTGGGCAGCCTCAGGGAGGCTTTTTTTTGGGAGGCAGGGAAGGAGAAGCCTTTGGGGTGCTTTGTTCTGGTTGGAATTTCCAAGCTCTTCTGAGCCTGGGAGTTGTTGTGGCATTGGGAGGATGGATTTTGGTCACTCTCATCCATGGTTTGGTGTCCAAGTGAGAAGAGAGAATTGGGAATGAAAGAATTCCACAATGGTTTGGGTTCATAGGGATTTTTAAATAAATCCAATTCCACCCCCCTGCCCTGGGCAGGGACACTTTCCACTGTCCCAGGTTGCTCCAAGCCCTGTCCAGCCAGGCCTTGAACACTGCCAGGAGCCACTTTGGAACTGCCTGGAATATTGATGGTATTCATTAATCCTTGCACTTAATTATTTCATAATTGCTCTGCAATCTGGAAATACCTTTCAGACTTCTGGGCTCAGGAAAACTTCCACATCTCCTGAGTGCTCCCAGCCTGAGGGACTGATGTTTGGGAGTTTCTGCTCAAATCCTTGGAATCTGATGGTGATTTCCAGAAGGTTTTTTTTGTTGTTGCTGATTGTGCTGCTTTGCACCTTCAGGTACAGACATGAAATTGCTCATGATGGTCAACGGATTTATATCCTGGGAGGTGGAACTTCCTGGACAGCTTATTCCTTGGATAAGGTGAGGCATTTGGAACCTTGGACTGGAGATTTCCCACACTGAGGAATAAAATAATAATAAAAAAAAAAAAATTAATTGGGAGCAGATTGTTCTCCTATTTCTGTAAAATCTGGATTTGCCACAAAATGTCCTGGTGATGAATCTGTGGTCACTTTAAATAGTGCTCTGCTTCCAAAAAAGTGGAGTCTGCAGCACCTAACGTGACATTTTCTCTCTTTCCACTGTCCCATTTTTCTTCCTATGTGCAGCAGCAGAAAGGAATTTCTAAATCCTTCTGAGAACTCGAGGGTGTGGATTTTCATTGGTGCAGCAATATTCTTTTCTTTTTTTCAGCTGGGATGGAGCTTGGAAGGTGATTTCAGACCTGCTTAGTCACTGGCTGGGATCAGCTATTTTTGGGTTTAATGAAAAAAAATAAAAAAGGGATTTATTTCTAGAGGGTCAGAGCCTGTGGCTGCATCATCCTGGTGCTGGCAGAGACATCTCATGGCTCCTCTTTTTCCCTCCAGATCCATGCCTACAACCTGGAAACCAACACGTGGGAGGAGATCACCACAAAACCTCACGAGAAAGTTGGTGAGTTTGGAATTTCCTTTCTTTCCCTACAAACCAGAGTGGCTTGAAAGTGCAATTTTCTTGTTCAATATTTGACTTTTTGCTGGATTTGAGATCCTGCTTGTGCTTCAGCACTGAGGATTAATCCATCCAAGGGAATTTTGGAGTCTGGCTTCCCTCTCTGCCTGCTTGGGAAAGGTGACAGTGCCTGGATCTGCTCCCACAGGATCCACGTTGTCACTGCTCCCTTTTGAGGCCCTGGGCTTTCCCTGGAATCTCACATCTTGCTTTTCACCAAGCCAGATTTGAGACTCTGGAGAACAAAATCCCAGCATTTTTCTTCCTTCCTTGGAGAGGAATTAGGAATCAAACCTGCAACAGCTGCTTAAAATGACACCTTTGATACCTGAGATTGCAGGAAAGCAAAACCTCTTAAAAATTAAACCCCGTGATTAAATGTTGAGACAAAAAATCACCACTTGCACAAGCACTTTAAAGCAATTATTGCTGATAAATATTTTTCAATTTATTCTCCCCAGGCTTCCCAGCAGCCAGAAGATGCCACAGCTGTGTCCAGATAAAAAATGGTAAGATTTGCCTCTGGAAAATTGGTGTATCTTGTACAACCAAACAGGGGAGAGCTGGAGAGAACTGCAGGGAACACTTGGCTTTTCTGGAAGAGGATTTTTTTCCTCACTAACAGGCCTTAAGGTGCCCAGTTGGCCCCATTCTTTTAGTTACAGTTACAACCTTGATCCCTCTTTTCCAAACCCTTCAGGTCAGTGGCTGAATGCTCCCTGTTGAAGGGTGGAGGGAAATGTTGGGTTTTATTTCCTAGGAGTGTTAATTGTGCCAATAAAAGCAAGGCAGGAGCTGGGAGATGCTTCCAGTCCAGCAGAAGGATTTGGCAGCAGCTGAGTTGAGAATTTGGGCAAAGCTGAGAGCAAGGCAGGACTGGGAGCTGAGGGTTTAAAATGCCTGGAATCTGATCAAACCCAGGTGTCTGAGAACTCAGCTCCAAAAAGAGGAAACACTTCCTGCTTCCAGTGGCACTTAGCCCTGAGTCTGCCATGGTGGGGTTGGGATCATGGACAGAAGGGGGACATGAGGCAGAAACCCACCCTGATCCCTGTTTTGGGATCAAAATCCCTCTCCCAGGTACCTCAGTGCATAACCAGCACACTCCCTCTGCATGGGCAGCAGGGGAGGGGGGAATTCTGCTCCTCTCAGGTGAGACCCCAGCCCTGGGGACACGGCAGCAGCACCTGGAGATAATGGAGAGAGTCCAGAGGAATCCATGGAACTGCTGCCAGGGATGTTCACCTGGAGAAGGGAAGGGAGAGCTTCCAGAGCATTCCAGGGAATAAAGGGGCTCCAGGAGAGCTGGAGAGGGACTGGGGACAAGGGACAGAGGGACAGGACACAGGGAATGGCTTCAGATTGGGAAAGGGGAGATTGGGGTGGGATCTTGGGAAGGAATCCCTGGATCCCTGGAATGTCCAAGGCCAGGTTGGACAGGGCTTGGAGCACCCTGGGACAGTGGGATGGGCTTTGAGGTCCCTTCCCACCCAAACCAGTCTGGGAATCTTCAAGTGGCCTCTACTTTGTGGTGGGGCTGATTTGGGACACCCTGAGAGCCTTTGTTGAGTGACCCCAAAGGTTGTGGGTCAGGAGTGATCCCTGACCTCTCTCCCCCCGTGGTACCTGGCAGGGCAGGGCAGGGCAGGGCCTGGCACCTCCCCACATCTCCTCTCTTGCAGATGTGTTCGTGTGTGGGGGCTACAACGGAGAGGTGATCCTGGGAGACGTTTGGAAGCTGAACCTGCAAACTTTCCAGTGGGTCAAGCTCCCAGCTGCAATGCCAGAGCCTGTGTACTTCCACTGTGCTGCTGTCACCCCAGTAAGTGACTCCTCCCGTTCCTCTGGAGCTGGGATCCTTCATCCAGGCACTCTGGCCTCGGTGTGGGCTGCAGATAGAGTGTCCCCCTCCTCCTCCTCCTCCTCCTCCTCCTGCTGTGTGGTTTCACACCATGGGTTTTGCTTTTCTGAAAGAAATGATGCAGAATTTGAGCTTTTAAACTCCCATGTGGGAACAGCAGTTCCTGCTTGTAAAAGGGAAAAAAAAAAAAGCACAAATACTCCCTGAGTAAAGTGGTTTTATCCTACTGAGAACAGCCTGAGGTGAAAGATTACATGAGGCTGTTTCCAACCTTTTGGAAACCACTAAGGAATGCCAGAGCTTTTGGCCATAAAAGGCTGGAAACCTGGGATTGATAATTAACAGGCAGCAAGAAATGCCTTTGGCTGTGCCTTCACCTCCTTCAGCTCATCTCCTTAGGGCAGAGATCACATTCCTTGGTGTCACTTCGTTTGGGGAATGTTATAAATGCAGCTTTTCCTGGGAAGCCTGATAAAGGTGTTTCCCAGGCAGCTCAGTGACTGCCTGGACAGCAGGAATGCTCTTTCTTTGCCAGCATATGGAAGAAAAAAAAAAAAAAAACCACTCAGCAGCTGAGGTTTTCCCATCTCTCTGTGTTCCTGTCATCCCTGGAGCAGGGTTGTGCTGAGCCAAGGGAATGCAGGATGTCTGGGTGAGGTGGGTGTAGTTTAAAAATACATTATTTTCAGCTCTTACAGCTTTATCAACACTCCTATAAAGGATTTCTTGGGGTAGAAATCACCTAAAATTCAGAGCAAAGCACTCTGAGGTGGTTTAGGATGAGACAGCAGTGATTCCTCCCTTGATTGAGAGGATCCCAGAGCAGTGCCAGCCCAGTCCTGCTTTTCCTGGCTCTGTAACTCCTGTTCCCCTTTCCCCACCTAGGCTGGCTGCATGTACGTCCACGGAGGGGTGGTCAACATCCACGAAAACAAAAGGACTGGCTCCCTGTTCAAAATGTGGCTGGTGGTGCCCAGCCTGCTGGAACTGTGCTGGGAGAAGCTTCTGGAATGTTTCCCTCACCTAGCAACTCTCTCCAGATCCCAACTTTTGCACCTTGGACTGACGCAGGGACTCGTTGAGCGACTAAAATGAGAACATCTCCCACTTGTGGCCAAGACTCAACCACGTTGAAGAATTCTCCCTCCTACCCCCCCACTATTTATGGATTCCATGGATGGTCTTGCTAAGAACATGGAGGAACCTGCTCAAGGCCTTACTCAGCAAATACATCAATGCCTTTCCAGACCTTGTTACTTTTAGTCATTGGAAAAAAAACAAAAAAAAAAACCAAAAACAAAACAAATCCCCTTTTTATTTATGGAGCTCTAAAGTTACACCATTAATCCAAAAGTATTTTCTGAGATTTAAGCAGCCAACCAGCAACCTGTCATCAGCACATGCTTGCAAATTAATTGGGGAGCTTAACGAGTTACTGAATGTGTGAACCTGTGCTTCCACCGTGGCACCTTCACCTTGGTATTTCCACCCTTGTATCCAACGAGGAACATTTGATGCAGAACAGCCACCGACCTGGCTTTGGATAACCCATCCCTCCCACCCAGCTGAGCTCCCCCCTTCTCCAAGCCCATCGAGTTCCTTCAGCCCTGCATGTGTTCCATGGAATGTTCCCACCCCTGAGCTCCTGGAGACGGCTGGAACGTCCCTGCAGCTTCCCTGGTGCAGTGTCTGTGTTCTCCCCTTTTCACACTCTAAGGTTTGCCTGGAAGACTGGGGGGGAAAAAAAAGTTGCCACTTAAGGGACTACTGTGTAGTTTACTGGGGGTGGGGAGGGAAAAGGTTTTCCTGAGCGATTTTCAAACCTTTTCAGCTCACTTTGCACCCAGAACAAGCTACAGCAAACCCTTAGAGTTCAGAGTTCTTTGAACCTGCTCAACCAATCCTTGGCTCTCAGCAGCTCCCAGCTTTTGGTTTTCCTCCCTCCCCCACGCCCCAAGTTGGCCTTTTTCTTGTTGTTTCACGTTCCCCTGAGGGTAGGAGATGTGATTTTAAGCTTTGTGGATCGCTCAGCCCAGGAAATGCAGCATCCAAAAAAGGGGAGAGGGAACATCCCTCCCTCCTGCTGGCAACAGGGATTGTCTCTGCACAGGAAGGGGTGGCTCTGGTCCTCTTGTGCTCTCTACACTGAATTTATTTAAGTGGCCACTGAACTCTGAGCAGCTCCAGGCATGAGGTTTGTACAAAATCCTTTTCAGTTGGAGCCCATTTTTAAGTGCCTTTTGTTTTTAAAATCAGCTTTTCCCAATGCTTTTGTCTTCATCAAAGGCAGATGTTCAACTCTGGGGTTTTAGTTTCTTTTTAAAGGATTGCATTTATGTTTAAATAAACCATAGCATTGTCTTCATGTTGTTAATCCAAAGGTGCTGCCTGCTGGAGTCACTGCCCTCCACTTAGGGAACCCAGCTTTTGTCCCAAAATTCAGCTTCCCCTGGTCTTGAGAACAGATTTTCCTCCTTCTCCAGCTTCAGTTCCTGCCTTTTTCCCCCCTCCAAGGCTCAGAAAAAAGGCTGGGCATCACAGCTGAGGCTTTCTCAGGTGCTTGGACCACAGGAACTGCTGGGAGCCGCTTGGAGCTCTGCTGTCTCCATCCCCTGCGTTGCACTTGGACAGGAATTGTGCATTTCAACCCCTTCCCAGCCTCCCTGGCTGCTGAATCCAGAGCCTGCTCTCCTGCCCTGGCTTTGCAGTGACCTGCAGGAACATTTCTCCAGCTTCTTTATTCCATCCCAAACTCTGAGGCTGAATATCCACACTTCCATCTTTGCCTTGTGGGACCTTTGTCCTGGAGCAGCCTGTGCTGGGTTTTGTCTCACCTGCTTTAAAGAACATCTCCCCTCATCCCCAGGGTGATATTGGATCTCTGAGGTTCTCAGGTTCTCCTTACTCTGGAAATCTCTGGAGCTTTCTCTGAGGTTCTCACGAAGCCTCTCTCGATGATTTTGGGGCAGTCCTGGCACTCTGGAGAGGTCTCAGCTGGCTGGAAGCTGTCCCAGTTTTCAAGGGACAACACTGAAACCACAGGGCTGTCAGTCTCACTTCAGTGCCTGGTAAAATCCTGGAAAAGATTATTCTGGAAAGTATTGAAAAAACCAACACAGACATCAGTCACAGCCAGCACAGCTTCAGGAGAGGGAAGTCCTGGCTTGGCCACCCCGATTTCCTGCTACAACAGCACAACCCACCTGGATGGTCCAGGAAAGGCAGGAGATGGAATCCTCAGACTCCAGCAAAGTGCATCCAGGAGAAGCTGTGGGAAGGGACCTGGGGGTCCTGGATTTGAGTCAGCAGAACCCTGGAGCCAGGAGGGACATCTCAGTCCTGGGGACAGCAGGGACAGCAGCAAGGGAAGGGAGTGTCCTGCTCTGCCCAGGCTCCCCAGGGAGTGGGCACAGCCCCAAGAGCTCCAGGAGCATTTGGACAACGCTCTCAGACCAGGGTGGGGTTGTTGGGGTGTCCTGGGCAGGGCCAGGAGTTGGATCCCTGTGGATCTCTCCATCCCCAGCCCACAGGAGCTGAGGAAGCATCACCAAGAAAACCACAAAGGACTTGACTCCTGCTGATGAAATCCATACCAACACCATCCTCTGATGGATTCCCAGGGGTCTTCCCCATTCCATAACCCCCACTGGCTGCTCATGAGGGACACAAGAGCTTTAGAGGCTGCTCTTCTTAAAAAAAAATGATTTGGTTTAAGCACTGAGCTCACAGCTCCTGCTGAGAGGGGCTTTAATTGCTGCTGGGCTACTGCCTGTGGGTAAAAGCTTTAATTAGAAGATATTATTATAGATATTATTAAATTATAATTTAATTTAAAGGAGAGGGAAAGGAGCTGCAGCAAGTGATGGAGAAGGGATAAGAGCATGCACAGTGCTGCCTGGGATGGGGACAGGATGGAAGGAGACAGGGAAAACCAGCTCAGAACAGAATTCCTGAGCATCCCTCAGCCCAGGAGAGAGGGTTTGTTTAATCACAGTAAGATGATGGCACTGAGCAGGTTCTCTACAGCTTCTGCTCTCCCAATCCCTTCCCCTTTTCCATCCTTCCCTGTCCTGCCATCAGCAGCTCCAGCTACTCACCCAGCAAAGCTCCCAACTGTCCCACACTAATGACAGACAGGATTGTCCGTGCTGATGCCTCACTAGGAAAACAAAAAAAGCTTAATAAAGCAGCTTCATTAATCCCTAACGAGCTGCTGCCTTCCCAGGCTGCTCCCTGCCTCACTCAGGGCTGTCCATCCTTTCAGACTCCCACATTCCTGTGACAGCACTCCCTGCTTTTCGTGCTGAAGGACATCCCGATGGCACAGGGGAGGGGGAAGAGGCACCAGAGCCTCCTTGCCTGTGTTAGTGGATCCCTCAGTGTTTTGCTTTGGGGTTGTTTATGTTCTTTTAAAAGATAATAAATCAATCCAAGCCCAAACTTTGTCCTCTTACCACACTCACCAGCATTTCCCAGCCTGTCACACCCCACAGGCAACACCAGGAGCATCCCTGACCCTTCTCTCAGGAGTCTCCTCCAGCCCTCAATGCCAGGAGGACCAAGGACAGTCAGACAACACCAAGCTGGAAATGAGCTGGAATTTTGGGAAGGTCATGGAGAAATCTGGAGCCCACAGCCAGCCCTGCTGGCTCTGGAGGTGACAGAGGGGCCCAGGCTGGTGACCGAGGCTCGTTTAAGGAGAAACCAACTTAGTTTCTGATTTGTACAAAACTGCTTTAATGACAAAACAGCTGAAAATACCTTTGAGTGCATTTCTGGTGCCATCAAACATCCCATGTGCAATTCCCAGGCCTGGGAGGATGAGGGATTTGTCAGGCACCTTCTCCAGTGCAGCACATCCCCAGGGAGGGGTCTGTCCTCGAGACACACCAAAATCCCCTTCCAGACCCTCCACTAAGGACAGATTTCCTCCCAGCCGCTCGAGTGTGGGCTGGAGACGCCTCTGTGCCGTGCTCTGCCTTTGAGGCTCCTCATTTTGGGAGCAATTCCATTGCCACCACCCTTCCCATCCCTGAAGCCCCACGGGGGGGGGAGCCCAGCAGCAGCAGGAGCTTCAGGAAACGGCACTTCCAGACCGGAGCCAGCCCGGCCGAGTCCCTGAGACACTGGAAAAGGTCTTGAAAGGTGCTGATCCCAACGAAGGGGTCGGAGAAAGGAGAATCCAAACCTCAGCAGCCGCTGGGCGAGGGGGCGAAGAAATACACGGCCAGGAGGATGAAGTAAACCATCACCAGCACCGTGCCTGGGGGGACACACAGGGGTGGAGGAGTTACTCCTTGGAGCAAAGAGGGTTTAAAACCTGGTGTGGGGTCTGGATGAAGCCCCTGTAGAGGACTTTGATGGCCATTAAAATGGAGTTTAAAACCTTTTAAAGGGGGAAATGGGAGTGATCCCCCTTGGGGGACAGCTCCAGGATGGCTCAGGTCACCACACACCGAGAGCAGACGACCCCAGGGTTGGACCCAGGAGGCCCCCATCCCACATCCCACATCCCAGGGAATGCAGGGATACTCCAAGTCCCACAGCAGCCCTGTGGGAGGTGGTCACCTTGGAAATAGTCACATTTGCCATCCATGAAGATGTAGTTCATGAGCACCACGCTGAACATGCTGGCATAGACGTGGAGGTCGCTGAAGACCAGCGTGAAGTTGGTTGGCTGTGAGGAAGAGGATTTGGGGTTTATGGCCAGCCAGGACAGCCCTGCACCGACTGCCTGGGGACCTGTGTGTCACCCCTTAAACCTCCTCTGTCACACGTCCCCATGGTGGGGACAGCACCAGGAGACATCTGACCCCACTTGTGCATTGAGCAGAGGGGAGACACTGGGAAGGACAGCTGTGTCCTTTCCCCGTCCCACAGTGTCCCCAGCCCTGCTGCAGGAGGTCCCCCGGGGCTGTCCTGGGGCTACTCACGTAGAAGATGGTGAAGAGCACGAGGATGGGGATCTGGAGCATGCACACCTGCACCGCGATGCAGTTCCCAATCTCGATGCTGGGGAGGGAGAACAACTCAGGGGTTGATCTCTGGGTAAGAAAATCCCAATCCACAGAGCCCAGCCCAGTTCTGGCACCGTTTTTTGGGTGACTAAGTCTCCTTGAGGATAAGCTGACACAGCATCTGACCCACCAGTGGCTGGGCAGCCCATGGTGGGCACCAAGGCACAGTGATGGGGCTGGGACAGGGCACAGGAACCATCCCAAAACTCATCCTTGGAGCCATCTCACCTCAAGCTCAGGTTGTTCTGCAGGGCAAACTGGATGCCATTGACAATCTCTGGCAGCTCAGGCACCATTGCCAGCACGGTGACACCGATGAAATACTGCAGGCAAGAGGTGACATCAGCCTTGGCCTGGTCAGCTGTACAGAGCATCTCAGCATCTCTTCCCCCACTGCTTTTGGGGTTCCAACCGCAGCCAGAGCAGGTCCCCATGGCTGGAGGGCACGTCTTGGTCCTTGGGGACCCCCAGGGCCAGCTCACCTGTGAGATGGTGGAGTTGGTGAGGATGGGGCTGATGTGCTCCGTGGCCAGGTCAGCACAGGCCGACATGCAGAGGGTGGAGAGCAGCAGGATGACCAGGGCCCGCCAGCGGGACCAGTGGACCACGGCACTGTGGTGGTGGCCAGGCACTGAGGAGAGAGCAGAGAGGTGTGGGAGGACACTCCAGAGCAGTGACAAGAGGCAGCCCTGCAGCCAGGACACGCGGGGACACTCACTGTGACAGTCGCTGATGTGGATGTCGTAGATGTGCGTGTGGGTTTTGAGGGTGAAGAAGAGCCCGATGAGGTAAGCAGCGGGGAGCAGGATGGACACTGTGTACACCAGGGGCCTGTGGGACACAGGTGACACTGTCAGTGCCACCAGGGTCTGACATGGACACCCTGGGGGATTTGCCCTGAGGATGGAGGAAATGGGGCGCTGGATCTTTGGGGTGGAGAGGGACCCCAGGAGGATGCAGGAACACGACCAAACCCAGGAGGTGCCACCCCAGTGTGGGGACAGCCCTGTCCCCACCGCAGTGGACACTCACTGGACGTGGCTGTAGTACAGGGTGCCGTTGTTGTCCATCTGCAGAGAGAGCACCTGTCAACAGGGATACAGGGGACAAGGGACAGCCCTGCTGCCACCACCCAGCACGAGAGCCAGGGGGGTTCAGAGCATCCCTGACCCCAAATTTCCCCTCTTGGGGCTCCAGGTCCCCACTCACCAGGTCAAAGTGACAGTTGTGGCAGAGGTAGTGGCCCAGCGGGTTCTGGGTGACGTTGTGGCACTCGCCACACACCAGCTTCCCGTACACCTTGGAGAACAGCGTTGGGGCAAAGACACCTGCAGGGACAGGACACGGAGCACGCACCCACCCTGGGGGGACCCCCAAACCTGGGGACACCCCTGTCCCCAACTCACCTCCCACAGAGAGGAAGAGCAGGGCCGAGCTGACGCCGGCAGAGCGGCTGTTGAACCGCTGCTCCTGGTGCCGGATACCCCCGATCACCATGCACAGACCCTTGGGGACGGAGAAAAACCCCCCAGGAAAAAAAAATCCCCCATCAGTGCTTTGCTCACAGCACCCTCCCAACTCCCAGTGCCACCCATCTCACCGGCACAAAGAGGACACAGCCCACCAGTGTCCCTGTCAGCGCTGACTTGACCACCTCGGCGTAGCAGCGGTTGCCCTCGCGCGAGCCCTTGATGAGCGCCGTGATGTAGAAGGTGAGCTCGGTGATGGAGCCGAACGTGGCGTTCACCACCGCCCCCACTGCAAAGTTACTCTGGGCTGAGATGCTGGAGAGGAGGAAAACGGTGTCAGCGGGGCCGGAGTGTCCCCACTTTGCCCACCGAGTGTCCCCCGACACCACTCACCTGGCGATGGCCATGCCGATGTAGTAGGAGAGGGGCATGATGGACAGCAGGGCCAAGGTGAACTTGACGGCAGAGCCCGTCAGGTGGTTGGGGCTGTCCACGTAGCCCAGCACCAGCGTCACCAGCACCACTGGGAGCAGGTCTGGGGTGGCCAGTCAAGGACACGGCAGAGGGGGGGTGGATTTGGGGTCACCCCCACCCGTCCCACTCCAGCTCCCACAAGGATACTGACAGCAAAGACGTTGATGCCATCCACGGCGTATTTGTAGTAGTAGGGGTTGGCAGCACGGTAGCAGCAGAGAATCACCTCTCCCTCCAGAGGCACCTCTGTCTGCAGAGGGACAAAAGGGTCACCCCCCAACCCAAAACCCCCCCCGGAGCGGGGTGTGGGACCCTCACCCTGCCCAGTCACCCACCATCCTCAGGCGGCGGATGAGCACCCGCTCCGGGGGCAGCAGCAGGACACGGGAGGTGGCGCGGGCACTCAGCTTGGCCACGGGGATGAGGATGATGAGGAGCCACGCGGTGACACACACGAGCCCGTGGGCCAGCGCCAGCACCGGGTAGCCCAGGCACAGCCACACTGCGGTGCTGGCATGGTGCTGTTAACAGGAGATCACCTTCAGGGACTGAGCCCCAGAACACGGAGCCCAGGGCAGGGCAGGTGCCCATGGGCACCTTCCCCACCACGCTGGGGGCTCCAGGGTGATGTCAGTGGGGGCAGCGTGGGGCTCACCCAGTATCCAGTGCCCAGCCAGCAGCGTGGGTGCCAGCGGCGCGGTGTGGGACCCCCGAGCAGGGCTGAGCTCTCCCCCACGGCAGCTTTGGGGACCTGGGGAGAGGGGGGATGTCAGGGTGTGCACCCCAAGACCCCCCCAGGGGATTCCCAAGGCACCCTTACCTCCACTTTCTGGATCACTTTGCCAAAGGGCCAAAGGAAATACCTGGCCAGGTCCCAGCAGAGCCACCCTGTGGGGACATAACCATCAGTGTCCCTTCCAGCTCCAGGGACATTCCACGGAGAAGGGACCCAGGAGACCCCAACACCCCTCAGTGCAGTCCTGAGCTCCTCCAGCCCTCGCGTGAGGATCCCAAATTTGGAACTCACCGTAAGGAGCCCCCATGATGGTGACGAACATCACGGCAGCCACGAGGATGTAGAGGAGCGAGAGCCACCAGCCGAAGAGCAGCAGGTAAAGGACATTGCCACATGTCAGCGTGGAGCCTGCGGGAGGGAAGGCACAGCTGGGACCGCTGTCACCTGCAGCTGCCCAGTCCACACTGCCACCACCCGGGGCTGTCCCCGAGGCCACCCCACCTCCAGAGCCTCGGATGACATTGAGGTCAGAGTAGAGCTCCTTGACAATCTCTGATCGGTCCTCCCAGGGCCGTGCTGTCACGTGGCTCTTCCATTTCTTGAAGCCAAACTGCAGAGAGAGGAGTTTTTTTGGGGGGGATGAGTGGAGAGGAAGAAAATGAAAACCCATGACAGCCCTCCAGGAGCACCCATGGGTGCCCCCACCCACCTTGTAGTTATTGGAGAGCTTGTTGGCCTCCACGGCGTTCTCGGCCGTCAGGGTGGTTTTCACCACGCAGCTCTCACACACCTCCTCCGAGTGCTGCTGGCAGCAGGGCGGGGTGGACATGGCTGTGGGTGACACACGGGGTCACAGCGGCTGTGGGACCCCCCAGGGCCCCAGATCCAGCCCATCCCACAGCCAGCCTACCTGGAGGGACACGGGGACGGTGCAGGTGGCAGCCCAGGTCGCCCAGGTCACCCTGCACGTTGTTGATCGCAGCGCAGTGCCGGTCACAGAGGGAGCCCCGGCGGGGGCCGTCACTGTCACCGCGGGAATCCAGGACCTTGGGAACATCTGCGGGAGCTGCTGGAGTCACACTGGGGCCATACCCCGTTCCCTGCTGGGGTGTCACCTCGGTCCCCAAACCCCGCAGGGGGGACACAGCACCGGTGCGGTACCACAGCACCACCCCAGGGTGGTACCCAGGGGATGCTCAGGAGGGGGGACCCCACCAGCTCCTGGTGATGACGGAGAAATCCCGCTCGGTGCCCGGTGCGTGGGTCGGGAAGGGTGACCCGGTGGTGCCCAGGGATGGGGGGACCCCTCTGGTGCCCCCCCAACTCACCGGGCGTGTCCTGCGCGCAGCAGCAGCGGCGGCGGCGCCCGGGCTCGCTGTCGGTGGCCATGGCGAGAGCAGCAGCTCCAGGGCCGGTGGTCCCGGCCCGGCCCGGCCCGCCGGAATTTAACGGGCGGGGCCGGACATGCGCGACCCCGGGAGCCGCCCCCAGCCCCGCGGGAGGGGCCGGGCAGCGGGTGGGATACACCTGGTGACGGTGCGGGAATGGGGGTGCGGGGGGATACACCTGGTGACGGTGCGGGAATGGGGGTGCGGGGGGATACACCTGGTGACGGTGCGGGAATGGGGGTGCGGGGGGATCGGGTGCGCGGTGTTTTGGGGTGCGCAGGTGAGAGGATGCAGAGATTGGGGTGTGCGGGGACCACAGTGTGGGGTGAAATGGGGTGCAGAGAGAGCAGGGTACGCGGTGTTTTCGGGTGCAGAGAGACCGGGTGCACAGAGTTTTGGGGTGCAGAGAGAGCGGGGTGCAGAGAGAGTGAGGTGTGATGTTTTGGGGTGCAGAGAGAGCGGAGTGTGTGCACTATTTGGGCTTACACAGCTGAGGGGTGCAGATATGGGGGTGCTGGGGGACCAGGGGGCACAGGGATATGGGGTGTGTGGTATATGGGGGTGCCCAGGAATTGGGGTGCACGGTGTGTGGGTCGTGCACAGGGTAGGAATGAACAAGATTTGGGGTGTGCCGTGTATTGGGGTGCAGGGGGATGTGGGGTGCAGAGTTAGGGCCTGCAGGAACAGGGGGTGTGAAGTGTTGGGGTGCACGGGGAGCAGGGGGTGTGAAGTGTTGGGGTACACAAGGAGGGGGTGCACGGGGAGCAGGGTGTGTGCTGCTGGATGTGAGCAGGAATGGGGTGCACGATGAACTGGGGTGCACAGGGTGTCAGGGGCACCAGCACTGGGGTACACAGGAATGTGGGGTCTGTACTGGGAGTGGGGGGCAGAGTGCAGCATCTGCGATGTACTGGGGTGCACAGGGAGCAGGGTGGGGCGGGTATTGGGGTGCACAGGGACTGACTGGGGTGTGGGATATATTGGGGTGCACAGAGAGTGGGGTTTGTGATGTATTGGGGTGCACAGGGAGCAGGGTGGGTGGGTATTGGGGTGCACAGGGACTGGGATGTGTGATCTCTTGGGGTGTGTGATGTGTTGGGGTGCAGAGGGACTGAGGGTGTGTGATGCACAGAATTTTGGGGTACACAGGGACTGGGATATGTGAGGTATTGGGCAGAGGGACTGGGATGTGTGAGATATTGGGGTGTGTGATGTATTGGGGTGCACAGGGACTGGGATGCGAGATGCACAGAATTTTGGGGTGCACAGGTATTGGGGTGTGTGAGGTATTGGGGTGTGTGATGTTTGGGGTGCCCAGGGACTGGGATGTGTGAGATATTGGGGTGTGATGTATTGGGGTGCACAGGGACTGAGGGGTGTGTGATGCACAGAATTTTGGGGTGCACAGGGACTGGGATGTGTGAGGTATTGGGGTGTGTGATGTTTGGGGTGCCCAGGGACTGGGGTGTGTGAGGTATTGGTGTGTGATGTATTGGGGTGCACAGGGAATAAGGGGTGTGATGTATTGGGGTGCACAAGGATCCATCTGGGGGCTGTGTAGGAAGAGGCTGTGCAGGATCTAGGAGCACGTGAGGCTCTGGGGACCCCAAAAAGGTGCAGGGTCCTGGGGCACCCAAGGGTGCCCTATGGGATGGGCTCTTCCTGAGGATCCCCACTTTTTGGTGAAAAAAGAGATTTCTGCACTTCCAAGGTTTTAGGAACTAACAGAGCTCACAGGGCTTTGCTGTCCCTGAAGGGAGGAGTTTTGGGGTAAAATCCATCTAAATCTGGTTCTTGAACTTCCTCTTTGGTACATGGATGGGTGTGGTGATGCTGAATGCAAGAAAAACCCCAAAAAGTGTTTGATAAAACAAACTCATTTAATACAAGAACCAAATGAGCAATCTTGTTACCAGCTCCTTGGAAAAAAAACCCAGGACCCCCAGGGAAGAGAGACAGAGTCACCAAAAAACAGCAAAATTCCAAAAATTCATCAGTAAAAAATACAGTACAATGATTCCATGTGTTTTCTATATACACTTTTACAATACTCCTTCACCAGAATTTACAACAAATTCTGCCCCTTACAGAAATTTGACAAATATTGATTGATTCTTTCTTTGAAGCAAATCCAAGTGCTTTTACCAAAAAAGGTAAATTCCCAAAAAACCTCTGGGTGTGTAGAGCCTTGGTTTCCCACCAAGGTGCATAAAGCTCCCAAATTCGGTGGTGATGAGTGAAAAATTAAATTCCAAAGCAAAGGCAGGTGAGAATTGGTGGCAGTGAAGGTACCTGGGGGGTTCAGAGCTCACAAGGCCCCCTAAGAGGGGAGGCCACGCTGGTTTTGTACAAAACAATGAAAATAAAAATCGAAAATATCAGTAAAGTTCTTATTTGCTGAACTCAGCAAGACAAACATGGTTTTTTGTGCTTCCTTTTCAGCTGCAGGAACATCTTGAGGGGTCACAAATCACAATTACACCAATGATCAGGGATAAAATTAATTGGTTTTTTATCATGCAGGATACAATGAAGCAAAAATTCCAGATTTGGAATTTCTTGGATCCTGAAGCTGCCCAAGTTGTTTTATCCTTCCAAGTGCTCAGAGCTGTGCAGAGCCCTGGGGAGCTGCTCCAGCTGAACCCTCCAAGGAGCTCTGCTTTAGCTGAGTCTGAGATCAGTGAAGCTCAGTTTAAACTGGACTGCTTGAGGTGAGGAGCAGGAAAAAGAAAACTCCAGCCTGGAGTTCACTGACAGGAGCATTTCCACAGTGCAATGTTCTATGTAATGCCTTGACAAAACCCACACTGCAATAATCACAGGCACTTTCTCCTTCTGTCCACAAAGCTGAGTTTTAATTCTCCTAATCCATGTTGAATTCCAAGTTCATCCCTCAGAGCAGCATTTTCCTCCAGAGCTGTGTCCCATCATTCCCCAAAGATCCACAGGACGTTGACTCCTGATAAACCCAGATTTACACGCCTGCAAAAAAAAAAAAAGGGATCTGGATGAGCCACCTTGATTAAAAGCTGCTGTTAACTCGATTTTAACGCCTTTAATTGTCCCCCCACCGTGGTGGTTTCAGTGTGACACCATTCCCATCCTGCTCCCATGGGATACCTACCCCAACATCCCAGATTCCTTCGTCTTTATGATGTACAGGAACATCAGCAAGGTGTGGAACATGTTGTTCCTGCCCTGGAGCCACAGAAAGACACAAGGATTTAGAAATTCAAAATCTGAGAATCAGTGACATCACCCAGCAGGGATTGTGATTTGGGGTTTTACAATAAATTAGCAGAAAATTAAAAGAGGGAGGAACTCCTGTCTCCTGAATAGATCCCACAGCAGCAAAGTAACCACGTGCTGGGCAAAGAAAGACCAAGCTGGACCAGCCTCTGTGCAAATGGACCAAAAATGTGTCTAGGGTTTAAAAAGACCCCAAATCAGGCCTGGGGATGTACCTTGGGCAGGCTGTAGACGTGGCACTCATAGATCAGCTCGTAGTGGGGTGGGTTGATGCTGCTCTGGTAGATGCAGAACACGTTTTCGTTTGAGGTGTCTGAATTAAAAATTTATTAAAAAAAAAAAAAACAGATTTCAGAGGTGCTGCCGTGATCCCAGAGGAAAAGAGCAGCTCCAGGCCAGCCCAGTACCTGGTTTATCTGGAGTCTGGATGAAGTGTTGGGAAGTGAAGGTTTTTCCATCAGGATACTTGGGGTGAGGAGGGAGCCTGGAGTCCAGGTAAGTGCAGAACACGTGCATCAGGATCTGGGCAAAACACAACCAAACCTCACTGCAATGGCCCCAAAACCCAGCAGCTTCCTCCCCATCATCCCAGCAGGCAATCCCAGTCTTTGATAATCTCTGGTTACAATGCTGCCTTAGGAGCAGCTTCATGCCTAAATTATCAATTATCAATTTCAGATTTGCCTGAGAATGGCAGAGGAGCTCTAAAAACAGCTTTGATCACCCTAAACCCAGCAAGGAAACTTCTCCCTTTCCCTCATGAAAATCACTGGAAAAATTTGGGCTGGCCACGAGTGTTAGGAATGCCAAAATGGTGAAATAAAGTTTTAGAGTGAGCATCCAGAAAAACAGGGAGCAGCCTGAGGGTTGTTTCAAGCCTTTCTGGAGAGTTCTCAATATTTTATGTGGGTAACATCAGCAAATGATCTGTGATCTGGTGCCTTCTGTGCTCCTCATACCCAACAGGAGCTGTTTGACAGGAGAAATGAAAGATTTGCTGGGAAAAAAAAAATGCCACAAATCTTAAAAAATCTGGGAGATGCACCTTGGAGCTCAAAGCATTGTATTACCCACAATTAAAAATTATTAATTTTTTTTTTACTAATAGCCTTAAATCAATATCTAAACTTCTTTATTTGCACTTTTGAGCTGTTCCTGTTTATCAGGACACTCAGAGCTGCTCCATAGTTGGACAATTCCAAATATTTAACCATGTTCCCAAAGAGAAAATCAAATCCTGTTTCAAGGTTGATTTTCTACTTCCAGCAATGGAATCTCTTGAACTGTGCAGCAGAAAAAGCTGCAAAGCTCCATTTTCTGATTTTTTTTTTTCCCCCGTGTTCCCCAAAGATTTCCTGGCTGCTCCTTCCAAACCCTGTCCCAAAATCGCAGCTGGGATCTCACCGAGGAGTCGGTGGGAAGGTCCGTGTCCCATTTCCTGCCCTTGAAGTCGCCTCCTCCATTCCACCGGAAGGAGCTCATGCATCCTCCCTGCGAGAGCTCTGGAAACAACACGACATTCATTTCCTGGGGGCTGCATCCCAACAAAGGGGGATTCACAGATCCATGGGGAAGGTATTGCTGAAAGGAGTGGGGTTACAGGATGATTTTTGGTTGTGGATAACGAGGCGATTCCATCCCTCTGCAGCCTGAGCAGGCAGGAGGAAACGCTGGAATTGTTGGGATTGGGAGGGAAACCGAAGGATCATCCAGTGCCACCCCCACGTGCCACCGTCCCCGGCTGCTCCAAGCCCGGCCTCGATGTTTGCAGGCCTGCAGGAGCAGCCCCAGCTGCTCTGGGGACACAGAGAAACGCTGCGAAATCAGCACCAACCTCGGATCCTTTCCACCAAATATTCCTGGTTGGGGCTGAGATCCAAGTACTGCACCAGGGCGTTGAGGGTGGGGATGAGCGGGGCTTTCACCAGGGCTGCCTGTTTGAGGCTGCTGATGCTGGCTTCTGTAACAGAGACACGCCCAAAATTCAGCCCGGGGACACTCCCAGCTTCCCGCCACGGCTGGGAACGTTCCACACCGCCCCAAACACACCTCAGGCACCTCAAAGGAGCACAAAAAATCTCCTTCACGTCAGCCACAAAGAACCAACAGGAGTTCCAGTGAAGTGAGAGAGAAACAAAGGGGGAGTAAAGCAGAATTTACTGGTTTTTAAGCACTTTGTAACAGTGGCTTTTGATGGAAACACTCTAAGAACGGCCCAAAGAGGAATTTAATTAAAAGGCAGCGAATCAAATCCACTTCTCAGTTCATCTGAAACAACAGAACAAGCAGCTGCTACAGAATCCCGAAAAACAGAACATCAGGATTTTTAAAAATCTGACAGAGCTTTTAAAACCCAGTTCTTTCAGGAAATGAGTGATTTGAAGGAAGAACTCAGCAGTGGAGACAGTGAGACTTTTGGGAGCCACTGAGAATTTACAGCACATCTGTCTTTGAAATGCTTTCTGACTGATTGATAATCAATTAATATTCATGATAATTTGAGCTGTAAAATTAAATTTATGGGGGGGAAAAAAGAAGCGTTTAAGAATTTTACCCAAGAGTCCAAGCCTTCATATTTATAGACACTACAGACATCTATATCATATTATTATTATAGATATTTATGGAAGTATCATGGAAAACCTTGCCAGCTTAACAAAATCCAGGAGGTGGAACAAAGACAACACCAGAACGGAGCAGAAATGGAACCAAAATATTTCCCAGAGCTAATTGATGTAACAGCCATTCCAAGGGAATTCCCAGGCTGCTGATCCTACCTCCAATCTGCAGTTCTGGACAGCCCATCCTCCTCAGCTGAGTGCTCACAGATTCCATCTCTTCCACAAGTGGCACCAGGATGGTGTCATTGATCCACTGGGAAGGGAAAAGGGGGAAATTCAAGCTCAGAAATAACAGGAATGTTTAATAAACCCCTCATTTTACACCCTACAATCATCCCCACCACGACCACAAAGCACTTTAACAGAAACACTGCATCCAGTCAAGGAGGGAAATAATTTAATTACCAAGCCAGGCAGAATTTAAGCTTTAACAGCTTCTGAGAAGGCAGAAAATTCAAAATATAGGAGTTGGGAAAACTGATCTGTAGCAGGTAAAGCTTTTTTGGACAATGAGGAAAGGAGATTATGAATCCCAGCCCTCCAAGCATAAATTGATGGATGCAGGCCCCTCTCCAGGTTATCAGGGCAATGATAAATTTGTGGGATTTGTGTGTGACAGACCAGCCCAACCCTCAGGCACAGAGGACACGGAGGGATTTTCCCACTCCACTTGGAATTCCTCAGAGAGGGACTTACATTCCTGAATTTGGCTGTCCAGGAATCCATGTGATCCAGGAGCTGCCTGTTCATTGTCACCCGTGCCCACACCTGTGGAAAGGTTTGTTAAATCCATATGAGAACCTCACAGAGTTTTTAGGGTCTGTGACAATTCCTGCTGCTTGCAAAAGAAAGGAGTTGGCTGAAAGCTTCAGCCCCACATTCCTGACCCAGCTCAAACCCAAACCTTTGCACAAAGGTACATTTTAAAATCCCATTTCTTCCTCTTGACTTTTTTTTTTGTTTTGTTTTCCTGTGGGATTTACCTCTTCTGCAGCCTGTTTGGAGCTGAGATCAGCTTCATCCTTGTGTGCAGAGGGAGCCTGGGACCTGCAGGCCAGCTGGTACTGGAACTTCCTCAGGATCTGTGCGTGGTCTGCCATAGACCGGCTGTAGTTCCAAAACGTCGGGCTGCTGGAGGGAGAGCTGGAATCTGAGCTTCCTGAAATGATTAATTCATTAAGAAGTTCAATTATTGCCAAATAATTCTGGAACAAACAGCACGGGGACAGCAGGTCAGTGTGAGTGAAGTCACTCTGCTGGATTCACCCTTATCTTGAGAAAAATTTCCTGGGTGTAGTCCATCCCCTTTATCCTTATCTTGATTGTCCCAGCTCAGGAGAAAAATTTACTGGATCCAGCCCCTTCATCTGAACCCATCTGGACAAAATCCCCCTCTTATCAAGTCCATTATCTTATCTCAGTCCATTACAGCCAACAACTGCTACAGAGATAATCCATCAGCATTCCCAAGTTTAGATTAGATCCTGTCCCAAGGAATAATTGAAGGAAAACTGCCTGAAGGGGAACCAGTGGGGTTCTACCTCACACCCCAATTCCCCACTAGGAGCAAGCTTGCCAAGCTCACAGTGATCCATAAATGTCTTTTTTACTGCTGCTTCTCCCATCACAAAATCCAACATTGGATAAAACCAACCCCTCTGCCCTTCCAAGCTTTTCCCAGCCAGTCTCCCTGCTGCCTGGAAAGGCTGAGCTGGAGCAGAGCAAAAGGAATAAAACAGGAATTTATTGGAAGGGCAGGACAAGAGCCCGGCTGGGGCTGCACCCAAATCAAAGCCGAGGTGGATCGTGCTCAGGAGTTTCACTCTTGGATGAGTTTTGGTTCATGGCGGGGTCAATGATCCACCCACAGCCCCAGGTTATGAAGTCTCAGCCCTGGCCTGTCCCCCTGCCCTCGGATTTTTGGGTTCCCTTTGTCCCCGATTCTCCGGCCACAAAGGAATTGTTTTGTCACTGCCCCGTGGAGAGAAGTCACCAACCCCTCACGGGAAGCTTCAGAGTCACCCCCCGAGATTGTGACAAATAAAAAATAAACCCCAAGGCATGACCCCAGTTTACCTAACTGAACTCGGTGCTGCTTCTCCTCCTCGTTCCTCAGGAAGGTGTCCAGGGATTTGACATCAGTGATGCATTCATCTTTGTAGGTGGAATTGTTGTAACGAATAGGGGAGAATCTGTAGTGAGACCTCATCCCACTGCTGTCCACAGGCCCCACACTCATGGAATAGGGAGATCCATTGGGAGAGTGGCTGAAGCTGGAAACCTTGGGAGAAAACAAAAACAAAATTAATTTTTTTTTTTTTTCCCTTTACGAGGTTCAAGCCGTGCATTTCTGATGTGTGCCATCCATTACCTTGCTGTAGCTGCTGCTGGGTGAGTAGGTGACAGAGGTGCTGTGAGAGGGGCTGGCCCCTGCCAGAGCCTGGAGCTGGGGGCTGTAGCCACTGAGGCAGCTCCCAGAGAACTTGGGGCTGGCACTGGGTGAACGGGAGGGGCTGTAGCTCAGCACACACTGGCCCTGGATGGGTGGTGATGGTGTCAGGGACAGAACTCTCTTGGCTGCTGCCTCCCGTGGAGGGGTGATTTGGACAGCTGCAAGGCAAGCACAGCAGGGTTAGCAGTGGGGATGCAGCAGCCCCAGATTGCCCTTAAACACAGATCTGTGTTAATAGAGCAATTGTAGACTGAAAACCTGATCCCTCCAGAACTCAGGTAAAACTGAGACCTGTGACCCCAACTCAGAATAAATCCTACTGGGAGGGGCTTCTCTAATATTCCATCAGCTCCTCCACCTGCCCACTGTTCTCATCCTTATCCCACTAATTAATATCTCAATTATCTAAAACACAACCAAACGGCCATAAACTAAATCACAGCATGAGGAACAACATGGAGCCTGCACAGGACAACCCAAACACCCAGCTCGGTTTGCAGCTCTTGTAAAATCACATAATTCAGAATAAGCAATCCAGAACAAAAAAATCCATGAAAAAGCTGAAGAAAAGGGTTTATTGCCCACCTGCCTTGCGCAGCCAGCCCATGATCTGCTGGCTGGGACTCGTGACCAGGCTGCTTGGTGCTGCTGTGTAGGTGAAGTATCTCCAGAAATCAAACAGGGCATTGAGGCTGAACAGGGCTGCCAGGGCAAATTCTGCAAGGAACACACGAGTTTCTGCCATGGTTTGAGCAAAAATTATATTATGTACAAAACCAGGCTATGTCTACTAAAAAAATGTCATTATTATTAGTGCTGTCTGCTTGGGGAAGTATCGAAGGTTCCTTCACTTTCTCAGGCAAAAACAATTGGAGATCGTTTTCCTCACTGCTGAAATTGATTTACACATTTTAAAACTGAATTTTCAAAATGGGATTGTTATTTTTCCAGAAAGGAAATCTCATGATTCTTGCTTCTTTCCAACCTGTTTGACAGAGCTTAGAGCCTCCTCCTCTGAACCCAACCTGAATTGTTGTAAAATACCACCCACACCCAGAGCACAACATGGCAGGAAAATAAACCTAAGGCTTTCTAAAGCCTTCATGCACACATGAAGAAAGATTTCATGCATTAGTAAGTCCTTCCTGCCCTTTTACCATAGAGAAAAAGCTGTTAACATTCATTTTCTGCCCCTAAAAAGTTTGGATTCCAGCAGTTTCGAGGGAGATCAAAGAAAGCAAAACAAAGTTTTGGTTTAAAACTCGAACAGAAAAAAAGAAACCTGCCTTTAAAACGACCTCCCAGCAATAAAAATGAGTTAAAAACCATCCTGAAATGTGATTTAAATGCTGCAACGACTCACCAATGTACCAGAGAGGAAAGCAGGTGATGTTGTAATATGTGCTTAGGAGCTTCCCAGTCCTAAAAATCAAAACAAGAAGGGAGAATTTAGCAGAAATTCCCTCCTCAGGGATATTTAGGGCTCCACACCGTGGAGTCTTTGCTGGTTTAAATCAGATTAATGGGAATTAACTTACATTTCAGTGTAGATCATGCCTGCTACAGATATATTGAGCAGTCCCCAGGCCAGCACCACCTTCCTGCTCTCAGCCTGTTTCCTCATCTTCACAGCCAGGTCGATGAGGGAAGTGTCTGGACTCTTGTTTGGTGTCATTGTCTGTGAGAACACAGGGAAAAGGCAAAATCTGTGAATTTTTACTCAGCAGGAAGATTCTCAGCCAGGTTCCTGAGGAACAGCATCCATCTTCTCTCTCATTTTTAAATATCCTTCAAAAGGAGGGAAAGCTCTGCCTCCTGCAGGCAAGACCAGCGTTTTTATAGAAAATTCTCATTTATTTCAGTAGGTAACAGAGTCATTTCTGTCATACGAAACCCACAGATTTTATTTCCTCCTTTATGCCCAGTAACATCTTATGTGAAGGAAATAATTCTGTCACAGGCAGACAGCCCTCACATCTCCCCCCAGACCTCAATCCCTTCCCCAAATTTCCACTCTCCCCTCCTCAAACTTTACCTTTCCTCCACGCCAAAGTCTCCCCTTCCTCACCACAAACTCTCTGATCCCCCTCCTCAAATTTATCCTCTCCTGCTTCTCAAACTTCTCCTCTTCCCCTCCCCAAACCTCACTTCTCCCC